TGAGAACAAATGAGTTTGAAATTTCTGAGGTCAGTAATTAAGATTATTGTCACTATTGGGTTTTTCACTATATGACCAAGATTCAGCTGCCAACGCAACATTTCACGATTCTCCAAAGCGAGGCAAGTTCTGTAATGGATGATGGGTAACAGACAAAAACGAAGATTCCGGGGGCCCCGGGCACCTAAACTGGACGTCATCTACTGCCCTTTTGTCTTCCGAGTCTTCTCCACTCGGACATGCACGCTGGGCACCCAGGACTGAAATCCCTTCCCTGGGATCCCTCTGGTGCCCTGGGGCATTATCATCCAGGTACACAGACCCCTCATGTTTACAGAATTGCTGTCATGCCTTCGCATGTAACAGGTCCAAGTATCTAGAGAGAGGGGACCGTGGAGCCTTTCAAAAGTTATTTCGTGTGGAAATAAAGAGGCAAGCTGGCAGCAGGTCTGGGTGGGTACCTGATGTGGCAGGCTGGGCAGGTGGTGCTGCCCCACCTGCAGGCTGCCCCACCACCAGCCCTGGGCATTCCTTCCCAAGCCACGGGCACACTGGAGAGGTCAGCCTCGCCATGGCCTTGAGTGCTGTGCTCCTGCCCTGGAATCTTCCAGCCAGGGAGAACTAACCCTTGTCCCTGAATTGCCAACCCCTCCTCCATGGCCTCCTGTCTTTGCACGTGCTTTCCCTCCGTGAGTAGCTCCCTCACCTGCCTTCACCCCTGGGCACCTCGCCACCCCACCCCTCGACATTGTCCGGGGGCCAGAAAGAGCCACAGAACCTTCATTGTTTGCAGGTCAATATCATCAACAACATTAAAAAATCCAAGATATGCTACAGGTTCATACAAACTGTAAGCTAAGCTCGTAAGATGATCTGACACAAGACAACTTAAAAAAAAACTAAAGTTTTCCTTTATATAAAAATAATTGCTTTATTTTTAAAGGAAAATAAATTAAAAATTTATTTATTAAAAATCAATTTCCTAGGGGCGCCTGGGTGGCGCAGTCGGTTAAGCGTCCGACTTCAGCCAGGTCACGATCTCGCGGTCCGTGAGTTCGAGCCCTGCGTCGGGCTCTGGGCCGATGGCTCCGGGCCTGGAGCCTGTTTCCGATTCTGTGTCTCCCTCTCTCTCTGCCCCTCCCCCGTTCATGCTCTGTCTCTCTCTGTCCCAAAAATAAATAAAAAAAAACGTTGAAAAAAAAAATTTTTTTTAAATAAAAATAAATTTCCTTGACATAAAAATAATGTGAAGACGTTATAGAAAGATGTATAAGACATAATAGAAAAAAAGATCCCTGGGGCGCCTGGGTGGCTTGGTCGGTTAAGCGTCCGACTTCGGCTCAGGTCATGATCTCACGGTCCGTGAGTTCGAGCCCCGTGTCGGGCTCTGTGCCGACAGCTCAGAGCCTGGAGCCTGTTTCAGATTCTGTGTCTCCCTCTCTCTGACCCTCCCCCGTTCATGCTCTGTCTCTCTCTGTCTCAAAAATGAATAAACGTTAAAAAAAAAAAAAAAAGAAAAAAGATCCCATTTGTGGTATCTACCCACTACCTTGGAATAAGCCTAATGAAAACTTTCCAACAGCAATATGCAAGAAAATCTAGGACTAGATTGAAGGACATTAAAACAGCCTTATTAATGGAAACATACCATGTACGTGAACAGGAAACATGGATCTCGATGGATTCTTAACCACATTATTAATATACTAACAATATAATCTCAACGGATTACTACAGAGCTTAAAATTTGATTCTGAAATTCACTTGGAAGAGAAAATAGGCAATAATATCCTAGAAACATTCGAAGCGAAGAACAGAACCAAAGGAAACCTGCCCTCAACAAGGTTGCCGAGACAGCCCTTGAATAAATGGTTCCGGGACACCTGGATCTCCACATGCAGAAGAAGGAAATTGGGCTCCTACTTCAAGCCATATACAAATTAAAAAAAAAAAAAAAAAAAGCCTTGGAGGGGGCTCGGTTGGTTAAGCATCTGACTCTCGACTCTGGCTCAGGTCATGATCTGACAGTTTGCAAATTCAATCCCCACGTCAGTCTCTATGCTGACAGTGCAGAGCTTGCTCAGGATTCTCCCCCTCCCTCTCTCTCTCTCTGTGCCCCTCCCCACCTTGCTGTCTCTCAAAGTAAATAAATAAGCTTTAAAAAACAAAGCGGATCAGGGGCGCCTGGGTGGCTCAGTCGGTGAAGCGTCCGACTTCGGCTCAGGTCTTGATATCACGGTCCGTGAGTTCAAGCCCCACGTCGGGCTCTGTGCTGACAGCTTGGAGCCTGGAGCCTGCTTCGGATTCTGTGTCTCCTTCTCTCTGACCCTCCCCCATTCATGCTCTGTCTCTCTCTGTCTCAAAAATAAATAAACATTTAAAAAAATAAAAAAAACAAAGCGGATCAAAGGTGTGAATGTAAGAACTAAAGTTGTAGAACTAATAAAAGAAAACATAGGTGGAAACCTTCAGCACCCTAGGTCAGACCATGGTTTCTTAGGTATGACAACGAACACGTAAACAACCAAAGGGAAGAACGGACCTCGTCAAAAAAATCAAAAAGACCTGCTCGAGAAAATGAAAAGGCAGCCCACAAAATGGGAGAAAATATCTGCAAATCATAGATCATAGCATGTACCCAAGAGAACCAAAAGCGTGTGTCCACCCAGAACGTTGTGTACAAATGTTCATGGCAGCACTATTCACACTCACTTAAAAGTGGAAACAACCCAAATACCCACTGACCGATGAATGGATAAGCAAAATCCAGCATTTCCATACCATGTGATATTATTCAGCCATAAAAAGAAATGACCCATTTCTTTCCCAGCTAAGGGAGCCTTGAAAACATCATGCTGAGCGAAAGAAGGCCAGGCACAAAGGGCCACGTGTCGTATGCCACTTCCACAAAACGAATGAGTGAGCAAATCCGTAGAGACAGGAAGTCGATTAGTGGTTGCCAGCAGCTGAGACAGGAAGGGAGGCCCCAGGGAAGTGACTGCCCGTTGTGAATGTGCTAACACACTAACCGTATGCTTTTAAAAGGTGAATTCTATGGTATGTGAATTTAATCTTACTCAAAAACAGAGAACTCGTTCTCCCTGACATCGAAATGTATGATGGAACAACAGGAATTAAAACAGCGTGGTATTGGCACAGGAAGGGACAAGTGGAGGTTTGTCACAAGTGGAGCAGCTCGTGGCACACAAAAGCAGGGCTCCGTACATGTGTGGGCATCCCGTATATAGCAGGTAGCAGCTCAGAACCTAAGAAAAGGGCCAACGGTGGGAGAGGAGCCCTGGGTCTTAGTTTAGGGGGGAAAGTTAGATTCTCACCTCACACCCCTCAAAAACTAAATTCCAGATAGATTAAAGAGCCAAGTATAAGACTACGGGAATAGACGATAAAGAAGGACGTCTGCGTGACCTTGAGGAAAGTCTCCTTAAGCAATACGCACACTTCATAGAGAGAAAGATGGAAAATTTGACGTTGTAAGAATTGGAGACTTCTGTTTCCTACAACAAAACATACCGTAAGTTAATAATAGTAGGCCAAGTATGAACGTCCTGAAATTTTGGAGAACTTCTAGAATCAATAACAAAAGTCAAGACAGCAAGTGGCTGGCCTTGTCATCTCCCGTCTTGAATTGCCTTTCAGATGGTCTCAGAGTTTTGTCCTCTCCTCAGTGACAGATAAACTTGACCCCTTTGAAGAAGTGTTATTGGATGTCATTGGCCACTCAAACCCCTGGGGTCCTGTTTCTTAGCAAAGTCAAGGTGGTCTTGGGAATTTGGGGTTTTGCTGGGCAGGACCGCTGGCCACCAAGCTGCGCCCTGGGGAAAGCGAGCGGGCCGCCTGCCATGAGGGGAGGGGCCGCGTGCCCAGGTGGGCTCAGCAGGGACGGCCTGGAGCCCACGAGCCCCCCTCTCCTCCTCCACCCACGACACTGCCCTTGGCTGCCAGGCCCTGCAGCTGGCACGTGGAGGCCATGAATGAGGCCAGCTGAGTATGCCCCGCACTTCCTGCCTGTCAGCCTCTTAGCTGAGGCTGCAACACGACCTTTGCCTTGTTGATTCTGGACGGATACCGTCTCAGTAAGGAAGCGTCCATGCCACGGTCTCTTTTTTGCAAACGGCGACATTATTTGAGACGTGGGTTCTGCAGGCATGTCACACGGGGATTTTCGTCACGGATGGAGAAGACCTTCCTATTTTGTCTTTCCTGCTGAGAGAGGCTCTCAGCTCCCACCTGGGCAGTGCAGGGGGGGGCCCCTCCACCTCCTCTGTCATCTGCTTTTCTGTTTTCACAAGCCCTAGGCTTCGGCCTCATTTTATCACATTTCGCAGTGTGCTTAAATACCCTGTGCGGTTCCCCATCTGGTCACGAAAGACAATTTACAGGGGGGTAAAAATGGTGGGGCCTGTGAGATTTGTTCTGCCGCTGGATTTCGTGAGGCACCCCGCGTCAGGGCTTTCCCGAAGGGTGTCAGAGAGACAAGAGCAGGACTGGGGCGGAGCTAACACCCCACTGATCATCCTGAAGTAAATCAGGCCGTCGTGCCAGAGATCCTGGCTGGGTCGGTCACGCTGGGTTTAGCATGAAATATTAAGGGGCACCTGGGTGACTTACTGGTCGAGCGTCTGAGTCTTGATTTCAGCCTGGGTCATGATCCCAGGGTTGTGAGATCGAGCCCCACATCGGGCTCTGTGCTGAGTGTGGAGCCTGCTTGGGCTTCTCTCTCTCTCTCTCTCTCTCTCTCTCTCTCTCTCTCCCTCCCTCTCTCCCTCCCTCTCTCCCTCCCTCTCCCCCACCCAGCCCCTCTCCCCCATGCTCGCTCTCTCTAAAATAAATAGAATTGAAAATAAATAAATATTAAGACCGGTGGTTCAATATTTCATGCCAAAGAGACACCTGTAGCTGCCAATGCGTGAAGGTGATTGGGGGCGGTTATGAGCGGGCAAGAAGGCACCGAGACTGAGCCTCCTGTCTCCTCCTTCCAGGGTCACTGTTACTACCACGGACACGTGCAAGGATCCTCCGGTTCCACAGCCAGCCTCAGCACTTGCTCTGGCCTCAGGTAAGCGGCTCTGTCTGCCCCACAACTGCGACCTCTTCTTCTCGAGCATCGAGAGTAAGTGGCAAAGGCAGAGAAGCCCCGCCTGACAGCTGGCAAGAGCACAGCGTGCCCCGGGGGCTTCAGTTTCTCTGCCACCACAGACTCTTTCTAGAAGGTCCTACGGGCCTGATCAGTCGAGAGCCACTGAACCGGCAGAGTTACTCCACCCTAGGATTTTGTGACTGTCTTTCGTTTATGTGGCCCGTGTGCTCAGTAATTCCCGGTGTTAAGAGGTAGGACCTCAGGTATTGGCGTTCGGGCTGCTTGCTTGGTACACAGGCACAGGCCTCCTGTCGCTAAGAGACAAAGCAGAGGAACCAGTTTAACAGAGTTCAAGGTGAGCTGAATACAGGCGTGGGGTGTGGGGGCTTCTGCCACACGGGCTGTGGCCCGTGTCAGGACACCGTTCTCTTCTGTGGCTGGACGAGCCCGTACAGCTCATCCTTCCAGACCACACTCATTGGCCACCAGCTGGCTCTCGTGCGCTTCCCGGCAAAACCAGCCTGTCTGACAAACTTCCAGCTGCCTCGGCCTTTTTCCTGGGTTTATTCGCTGCCTTTGTGAACCGACAGCTTGAATCCCCCAAGCCCTGCTTTGCTTGGGCCCCGGGGCGCCTTCGGGGACAGAGAGAGGACGGCCTGGGTGCCAGCTTCCGTGAGACCAGGGCTGCGTCCTGCGTCAGCTGTAACGCCACGTCTCTGGGAGTCCCATGCGGGAGCCTGCACACACACACACACACACACACACACACAGGTCAGTCAAGCTCCCACAAATCTGAGGGAGGTGGTGACCACACTGGCCCTCGTCAGGGTGTTAGCCGCAGATGAAGACAGAGCCTCAGTGAACGTTAGCGGGAAATGGGCGCGTTCTCAGAAGCGGTGCCTCCCATTAACCCCGACACATGTAACAAACACACCTGGACTAATAAAGGGCGGCGGTGGCCTGTGCCTTCCTGGCCACACTGGCAGCGGTGAGGAGCTCTCCAGCGCGACCCAGAACCCGGGGCCCGGCGCGCGCCCAGGGGCACGCTGGCAGGTGCCTGTCCCCGCGTGGGGCACCCGGTGCCAGCTGCGCGCCCTGGTGTCCCCTCTGCCCGCCCCTTACTCTCACTCGCGTGTCAGGTGCACAGAGCCGAGCGGCCCCTTCCACCCCACCCCCCTCTCCCGTCCCGTCCCCGCCCCCACGTGCCCTCCATTAACACGCAACGTGCGTCCTTCCGAGCCGCCACCCACGCTTTTTGACCCCGGCCACCTGCACAATTTACAAAGGTCACCGGAGAGCATCCTGCCTCGCTCAGCAGTTTGTTTTTGTGTTTGGCTCCTTTGACACCCATCCTTTCCGGCTGACGTGGGGCTGGCTCCTTCCTTTGACAAATACGCTTGAATTCGCCGCGTCCCTTCGCACGCTCCCCCACGCGCACGGAGGTGGTTTCCAGCTTTTCTCGGTTGCAAACGCGGCTGCGCTGCACGGGGGCGGGGGGGGGGGGGGGCCTCGGACGCTCTGTGCCTCCGTGCGGAGGCCCCGGAGGAGCGAGTGCTGTTGTGACAGTCCCGCCACCCTGTTCCTCCACGTGGCCACCTCGCTTTCCACTCTGGCCCTCGGAGGCGAGCGCCGTCTCTCCTGACATCTTCCCCCATCCCTGAAATACCTGCTGTACTCAGTGTTTATCACTGGACTCCGACAATATGTACAAACAAGCTCACCCTCCCCCCCTCCCCCTCCCCCCCCCACTTGGGTAAAATGCCAGCTGTGGCCTGTCCTGTGCATGCAAAGCCCTGCGCGCGTGTGTGTCTATCTTCATAAAAATAGTCACATCACACAGTTCACCCTCCGGCTTGCTCTGTCCCCTGATCCTTCTGTCTCCGCAAGTCAGGAGGCAGAGACTTGAATCTCTTTTTGGTTCACTCCATGGAGGGCATACACACACGCACGCTTCTGCGCACGATTGCTTTTAGAAAGCGCTTTTGGTATCCCGTCCGAGTAACGCTATGGAGCTCAGAAACGCCCGCCGATCTGATACGAGAACAGAGCTATCTTGCTGTTGTTGGATTTGCTGCTCTGCTGTTACTCGTTCTTCGGCACACGTTCCTTGAGCACGTCCCCCGTGCCAGCGCCGAAGGACGCGAGGGGTGAGCCGTGCGGTGCCTGCAGGAAGCACATTGCTGGCAGAGGGAACAGTATGCGCGAAGCCCCCGAAGCCGGAAAATGCCCGAGGTCGGGGGCCAGTGTGGCTGGAGTGAAGCAGGAAAAGGAGGCAGCGGACGCTGAAGTCAGAGGAAGAACGGAAGGGCGGGATCGGGAGGGGCCTTGGCCTCCCTCTTCTGTATAACGGGTGTCACGGGAACCTCGTGCTGAGGTCTGACTTACCGTTTCCACAGGTCACTGTGTGGCCACCGTACTGAAAACAGGCTGTAGGGGGTACATGTGAGAGCAGAGCTCAGCTAGATACCTTCCCAGTAATCCTGACGAGCAGCGGGGGCCTGGACGGGGGCCTGGACGGAGCCGGCACCTGCAGACGTGCGAGAGTCCAGAGATATCCAGAGACATCCAGAAACGTCTTCAGGGGTTTGGAGAGGCTGGTGACTGTAGCATCTGCACACTTCTGACCATTGCCTTCTCCACCAAAAGTGCTCTGTGTCTGAGTCTCGCGCCCCCGAGGTGGCGTGGGGCACAGCTACACGAAAGGACCAAGTCCCTGCTCCTGAGTGACGACGGAGGAAGCCGTGGGGAAGTCACTGACGAGGCAGGGGCGGCCATACACGCGCGGGCCCAGCAGGCGTGGTGGGCACCAGTAGAGGTGACGAAGCACCTCAGTGGCAGGTGACGATATGCAGAAACAAGGACAGTGGCTCACCTTAGAGGCACCGAGGTCCCGGAGGTCCCGAGGGAAGGACTTCAAACAGTGAAATCTGTCTTGAAAGGCTGTTGGGGGAAGTGGTGCCAGCCAGGTGTCAGCTGGGGCGGGGAGGTGAAAGGATATTCAGGAGAGAGTCGGGGGGAGGGTACTTTGGGGATGGACCGTGAGTCCCAAGAGCACAGTGGGAAGGTTCGAGGGGCAAAGAGAATGAGGCTGGGGGTCAGGAGATTTAAGAGCTGTGTGGGGCCAGGGCCCAGTCTTCATGCAAAAGCCAGAGCTCAGGCTCCTGGGGGAGACAGAGGTGAGCAGAGGTGAAGGACAGGATGGGGTCAGACCTGATGGCATCTGGGACGAAGGGGGATGACCAGTTCAAGGCGGATGATCGGGGGCCACCACGAGATGTTTCTGCCCGAGCACACAACAGCCCGAGCAGTGAACCAGCTGTGCAACAGTGGACAGGTCACCGGGCCTCTCTGAGCCCCAGTTTCCTTGTGTGAAGATAGAGATAAAGTCTCCGGCTGAAATGGTGGCTTTGAAAACAGATGCAACGACCTATAGGAGAGCCAGCCCTGTGCCTGACCGTGAGCGAGCAGCCGGCGGAAACACCATCAGACTCTCGAGACTGTCTCACGTTCTTTGATTCTGGGACCGGGCCGGGCGGGAGGTATGCTCACGCGGTACCTCTGGGCTCATTCTATGCAAAGCTGTACTCTTCCTGAGGGAACGGGGTTGGACAGCCGCAAGGCCATAGTGGCAAAGATCACATGTGGGACTCACAGACACCCTGCCCTGTGGGGTACCCAGTAGGCTTGAAAGGAGAATTTCTAGTACACACGTGGAAAGGGAAAGTCCAAAATTTACCGTTGCTTCTCTCTGGAGCCTAAAAGATGAATCTGTGTGTTTAAAGGCCATTTATTGAGGGCCAGGTGCTTCTTCAAGGCTTCAAGTTAATATAAAGGCCAATGTGAATGAAGAACAGGAAAGCTAATTCCAACTGGCTTAAAAAAAAAAAAACAAAAACTGGGGCGCCTGGGTGGCTCAGTCGGTTGAGCGTCCGACTTCGGCTCAGGTCACGATCTCACGGTCTGTGAGTTTGAGCCCCGCGTCAGGCTCTGGGCTGATGGCTTAGAGCCTGGAGCCTGCTTCTGATTCTGTGTCTCCCTCTCTCTCTGCCCCTTCCCCGTTCATGCTCTGTCTCTCTCTGTCTCAAAAATAAATAAATGTTAAAAAAAATTTAAAAAAAAAAACAAGCAAAAGTTGGAGGTAGTCTCATGCTACTTAAAAGGCCAGGAGTGGCTTCAGGCATGGCTGGATCCAGGGTCTAACTAATGCTACCAGAGTCCACCCCGTCTCTACTCTGGCCTCCACCTTCTTCTGTGTTGGTTTTATTTTCATGCACAGCTGATCTTTGTGGTCACAGAGAGGCTGCGGGCAGCAGGCAGCTCCGGGCTTACATCCTCAGAGGGCAGGTAAGAGAGTGAGGGCTGTCTTTTGAGTGCAGCAGACTTCCCCAAAACACAGCTGATTGGCCCTAACTGGGTCCCAGGCCCATCCCTGAAGCAGTCACAGTGGCCAGTGGTAGGTATGATGCTCTGGTTTAACTCCCTGAGCCAACCTGGGGGTGAGCCATCCCCAACCCTGGGAATGGAAAGTGGGGAGAGTGTGTGCATCAAGGGAAACCAGTGAGCTTTTGCCAGAGAAAGGACGAATAAGGGCCAGGATCCTTGGAAATGAATGAGCCCCTTCCACACATTGATGAAGAAGTTTCAGACCGTCAAAGTCCAGACGTATCTGGATCGGTCTGATAATAATTTTCAGGTGATTTTTCATAGGCTTCTCAAACTTTTTTTTTTTTAAGGGTATCTTTTTTTTTCCCCAACATTTGTTTATTTTTGAGAGACAGAGACAGAGCGTGAGTGGGGGAGGGGCGGCGAGCGAGGGAGACACAGAACCTGAAGCAGGCTCCAGGCTCCGAGCCATCAGCACAGAGCCCGACGCGGGGCTCGAACCCATGAACTGTGGGACCATGACCCGAGCCGAAGTCGGATGCTCAACCAATTGAGCCACCCAGGCGTCCGTCAAACTCTTGATGGGTAAAGAAAAC